CCCAAATTAATGGTGTTAAATTTGCAAATGAATTTTAGTTCTGCAGTTTCTATTTGAAGTCTGTTTTTGAAAGTTTTTTGTTCAAGTATAGCTACTTTTAAATCTGTTATAGAATGTCCAAGGAGATTGAAGTGTTCTCCTACTGGCTTTTGTATGTTGCCATTCCTGATGTCCGATTTGTGTCCATTTATTCTTTTACGTAGAGACTGTCCGGAACAGAACACCACTGGCCATCACATACAGCCCCCAGCTAAAACCTCTCTAGTACATCATCAACGATCTACAACCTATCCTGGAAAACGATCCCTCACTCTCGCAGCCCTTGGGAGGCAGGCCAGTCCTTGCTTACAGACAGCCCCCTAGCCTGAAGCAAATTCTCACCAGCAACTACACACACCACAGAAACACTAATGCAGGAACCAATCCCTGTAACAAACCTCGTTGCCTACTCTGTCCCCATATCTACTCTAGCGACACCATCAGAGGACCCAACCACATCAGCCACACCATTGGGGCTCATTCACCTGCACATCTACTAATGTGATGTATGCCATCATGTGCCAGCAATGCCCCCCTGCCATGTACATTGGCCAAACCGGACAGTCCCTAAGTAAAAGAATGAATGGACACTACTAGTCCACTGTGTAACCATCACACTGCTATCAGTCTGCCCTCTGCTATTATTTCTATTGCTCTGTTCTAATTCTTCTGGAAAAAACTAAAAGGGAGCCTCAACCAGAAGTGAACAGCACCAACTCTCCCAAGTTCTGGAAAAGTTTGGATCCACTTCAGAACCATAGGTCTCAGGTCCATCAATGGGAGGTGTCAGCAAGGTCAGCAGCATTTCATTTACTTTAATGGGGTATATGTGGTTTGATTGTTACACTTCCTCAAGGTGAAGTTTGCAGTACCTGTCTTGTGGCTATGTGGTGTTCAGTCTCCAATTCTAGCTCTGGTGCCTTTCATGAGAACTAAATTCAGTGGAGAAAAGGATATACACGGTGGATGCTAAACATACCACATCCTGGATTGCATGTTGTTGGGGGTACATGGTAACCTACTTTTTAGAGAGCCCCCTCTATTGGATGACAGTATCTATCAGTCTTAGGTACTTCATGGCCCCCGTTACAGAGTATCTAAGTAACTCACAATGTCTGTATTAGAGCAGGTTGAAAAAATTTCAGCATAATAATTTTCCCTCCTAGGGTGCTGTTTTGTCAATATTGAAATGTTTGTGGGATCATGTTGATTTTTGTGAAAATTTGGATGGATTTTAAAAAAAAAAAATTCTGACCACAATGAAATATTTTTGTTTAGATTTTCTCATTTCATTCCAACTTTATCCTCTCATTTTGATTTTTAATATTTTAACTTTTAAAATACTTTAATTGAAATATTATATTTAATATCCTATATCATGTTTTGACATGAAAAATGAAATGCTTTGATAACGTCATTTCAGTGTTTCCAAAACAAAATATTGACTTCTGTCCCGATTTGGGATGAAAGGAAATTCCAAAAAGGCCAGGATTTCCTGTTGGACAGAGATCCTATTTTCTGGCCAACTCTGGTATCTAACCTCACAACACCCTTGTGGTGTAAGGAACTGGTACTATCCCTGTTTTACAGATGGGGGATTGAGGCCCAAAGAGACTAAGTGACTTGGCCAAGGTCACACAGGGGTCTCTGCCATAGTAAGGAATGGAGCCTAGGATTTCCTGAGTCTGATACTAGCAGTTTAACCACTGGACTGTTGTTCAAGGCAGTAATGTCCGCTTCGGAAGGAATTGCCCATTTTTTTTTCATATTCAGCTCCACCAAGTCTCACAATGGGTTTTCCATGTCCATGGAGCTATGAGACTCTGTCTGAGGGATGAGAGGATCAAAATGTTCTTCTGCAGACTTGTTTAATTTGAATATCTTGCATTTCCAAGTGAGAAGCCGAATTCAATTTCCTCCCTCTCCCACCCTTCCTGGCTCTCACCACATCCAAAAAGGCCAAATGACATCTTGCAGCATTCTGAAACATTTTGAAGAGAGTAAGAGGGAGAAAGAAAGTATGAGACGTTTCCTTGACGCTAACCCAATAAGACAGCAGAAACACAGCAAATAAAATCTGCAGGAGCAGTCAACAAGGCAGCCCTGCCAAAAACCAGAAGGCTTCCTGTTAAGGGACAATACCCTAAGGGGGAGAAGCAAATGGTGAGCCAACGGGACAGAGTCATCCGGGAGTTTCATCTGCCGTCCAGATGGTCAAAAATAGCTCATAGCTGTACTCAGACACAAGAGTAGTAGGTGGCATTGCCTCCTGGTTTACAGGACTCTAGGCACCAGCAGTTGGTTCAGGCGGAAGAGAGTGTCAGCGTTGTTGGGCGCAATCTATCTGGGAGAGCTAGAAAAGCGAGAACAGGATGCGGGGGTAGCACTACATGCCAACAGTATTTATGGGAGATGGATCTGAACTATATGCACCCAGACTTTGGTCAGGTTTGGATCTGGAAACCCCTAGTATGTGGTTCTCTCTCTCTCTCTCTCCTCACCAAAGAGTCTGATTCCCCCCTCAGGAGATTCTTCCCTTTCCCTCTTATTCCTCTGCAGAGTCGGTTCTTCCCACATCCTGCAGACTCCACCCCTTTCTGTCTTGTTCCCTGCTGGCATCTTATCTCCCTCCCTCCTGCACATCTTTCCCCCTCAGCGTTCTCCCCCAGGGTCTTTTACTCCAACTCCCTTCTCCATGACTAACCCTGATATACCAAAGGTCTCTCCTCCCCCATGGTTCTGTCCGCCTCTTGGTGTCACTCATTCCCTGCTTCCATGACTCCCTCTGTATGCTGCCCTCTTTCTGCTTCCCAGCATCTCTTGCTCCCTTTCCCTCCATGGCTTCTCTTGGTGTCTCGGCCTCATTCCCCTCCTTGGCGCTCTCTGCCCTTCTTAGCCATCAAAGAGCCTTCCATGCTGATGACTGCTCCTCCAACAGAGGATTAACTTGGGGCTGCGGGAGAGATGGAGGGGCATTTGAGGCTGCTGCATCCACACCAGCATCCTCTGATCCCCTCAGCATGCAGCAGTGGGATACCTGGTGGGGGAAGATGCAGAGAAGTAGGCAGGGTGCATGGAGGGGGGGGACACCTGCAACACAAAACCCCACCTGGGTAAAGGCGAATCTGCAGCCCCGCACTCTGGGGAGGCTGTGAGTGTGGAGGAGCTGTCTCCTGCATCATGGGGATATAGGATACTCCAATCAAAACAGATTCAGCTTTGAATGCAAGAAAGTGAACACTAAGGAGTTAAGAAATCTAGTGAAACGGTTACATAAGAGGAAGCATTAAAATCAGATGTGTGGAGGAAGTCTGGTGAATCCAAAAAAGATACAGGACCAAATCCTGCTGTCCTCCTTCCTTTGCATGACCTCTTCCCCCCCCAGTCTCAGTAATCAGACAAGGACCTGATTCTCTTCTCATTTCCGTAAGTGCAAATCAGGAAGTCAATGGAGTCACAGTGCTGTAAGTGAGAGGAGGATTTGGCTCAGTATAATTCATGCAAAGTAAACTAAAATTCCTCTGAAAAAGGGGGACAAGAAAGGGGCATTTTGGCTTGGTGAGAGGCTGCTCAGAGATCTGGAGAAGCACGAGGGAAACAAATCTGGCCAGATGCGTTTCCTGTTGGAATTCTTTTGCCTTCAGAGGAGTTGTACTGGGCACGGATTTGGCCTGTCACACTGGTGGAGGCTTGCAAGGGAAAAGATAAGGGTATCATAAAAGCAGAATGAGTTAAAACGATCTCAAGGGAAGCGGCCTCCACTGGATCTTGAAGACCCTTTGATCCAAAATCATGAACTCTGTTAGTGCTTAAAGGAGATTCGTAAATAGCTTTCAGTGTAGTGCTAGCACTAACAGGCCACTAGGCATCCAGGGGGTGGGGGCAAACCCATCACAATTCACTGTTAAGTAACATTTCAAGCCTCAGCAGTGCTGTTTCATCCCACCATAAGACTTAGCATTACTTATAATTCATTAAGTCCGGTAGCAGTGCTTTCAGCCGAAGTATACTCCGAAGCACGTCTGCAGTGCTCCCATGGAAATCCCTGGATTGTTTTGCAGAACTTGAACAGTACAAATGAAGTCCCCGCTGTTACAATGGAGTTTATTTTCCATTCTTTGGCAATCCCTTTGTAGCACGGAACGGCAGCACAAATTCCTTTTTTTTTGGCAATCACGCAAAAAAGCACACACACACACACACACACACACACACACACACACACACACACACACACACACACACACACACACAAAAGGCTGGGCTGTATCAACCGCTGGACTGACTATAGAGTCATTGTCCTCTGCATGTGCTGAAGAAAACAAAGATTTTTCAGTTTTGCTTATTTCGGCAACAAATGGACCGGGGCGATGCTTTTTGTGATCATATAATCCACTAGGTTTGCTAGATCTAAATACAACTCTTGGCATTGTTTTCATTCCACAATCCATTCGCTGTGACAAGGCAATAAAAGACATGCCTCCCCCTCTCCCCTATGTGGTGCTCTTTGACCACTTGAACATGTTCCTTGCAGTAGGTCTCCCTTGTACGTATAAGCAGCTTACTCTGAGAGCTCGACAAACATAAGGATCTATTTATACCACATCACTATGGTTCTCACTGTTAAACTAAAGTATAAACACAACAAATTAAATCAATGTATGCTCAGTCACATCTGTTTCATTTATGTCCAACTGGTGCCACTGAGGCAGAAAGTGCTCTTATTCTTGCCACATTGTTCAAGCTGAAAATTAACTGGCTTTGCGCATAATGAAACTCATACTTGTGTCAAAGAATCGGGTCACTTCTATTGTTTTAAGGCAGAGTGACTTACAGGTCCCATGTATCAGTCTATTATAGATGCAAGGGGGAACATTTCCTATTTTATTTCCCCTGTTCACCTCGCCGGGTTTATTTTCATGGTGTTTCTAACTAAAACCATCTCTGTTGTTCCCCAACAGAATTAAGGCAGCACCAGGTGTGAAGATAATGGCCATCAGAGTCAGTGATGCAGACCAATGGGGAATTCAAGAGGAAGTAGACAATGGAGGGATGCAGACCACTGCCTCTGTTGTTTGTGTGCGTAATGATCCAAATATAGAGAGCAGGTAAGACATCCAAGCTATCCGATGTGTCACCATAGATGTGATGTCTAGCAAGAAAAATAACAGTACCTTTTATAAACGATGCTGCTTTTGAAAGCACTGCTGTCCTTTCACCACCCTCCTAAGTTCAAAAGCCTTGCGAAAGCTATAACCTGATTCCATGTTATCTTACGAGAGCTTTAGTTTTTTTTTTCCAGTGCTTCATAAGTGAATAACCTAATTATATTTGATACAGCAGAAATTACCTCTCGCCTATTGTCTGTCACCTTGGGGGGATGGTAGGAATAAATGCCTGCTGCAAGAGAGCCAACAGCAAGAAGTGGATTAAAATGGGAGAAATACTACGAATAATTTAATGGCATATAGGACAGTGCTCTCACTTTTATTTGAAAAGCTATAAAAGTAATAGCTACCAAGTATCATTCATTACCACCGCAGCATACCTATGGATGTCTCAGACTTCTCATGAATGCCATATATATATATATATATTTATGATGATGATGCTCTAACAAACTATATCCAAAGATATCAAAAGTAATGGAAATCTAAATTGTGAGTCAAAATTATGTATTTTATAATACAAGCAATTGCTCTTGCAACTACACTATATTTAGAGTACACAAAGCATATGTTAGGCCCAAATTGTATTGTAGCTAGTCACAAAACTGTGTCAGACTTTAAATTCGAGAATCCTCCTTCTGCATCTGTCCTCCTCTGAAGATCCTTTTAGGGAAGAAAAGCAGATGATAGTGTCTGTTCAGACCCAGGGAAATTATTATTGAATGTTTGGATTTCAGATTCAGTTTCTCGCCAGTTTCACATTCCATTTCTCATGCTATATTTGAGGAACAAACACTGCAGGGACATATTTAAACAAAAAGTTGTCAATGAGTTTTCTAGTGCAAAATTTTAATTGAATATTTCTATCCATACTGGGTTTCTTTAACTTCTTCTCCCCTATTTAGCCTTCTCCACTTACTCCCACACCCCCGAAAGTGGCAAACCCAAATTTTGGGGTCTGATTTAGCTAGGTCCCATCTTGGAGGTTGAAGTGAAATTCTAGCTTTTCTTTGTAATTTGCTGCTGCTCATTTTCATCATAACAATTATCATTACTATTCTTAGAGCTCACCTATTTCTAACACAGGGGATGGGCACTGTATAATTTTGTTTCTGATTCAGTTCTTTTTCAGTAAGACTCCTTGTGTTTTCTGTGGCTAAAGCTACATGCTAGCTTTCTTTTAAAGCTTTGCAAGGGCTGTCTGCCAATGCAGGGTGTTTGACTGGGAGGAGAACCACCACTGTTCTACTGGAGTTACAGTTGCCATATGCAGACTTGGGCTATGAAAACTCCAATGATTAAATTCAATCAAGGTTTCTTTGAATGAACCCAGATTGCCAATCAAGAGGCTTGCTCAATATTGACCTCAGATAAATGTTAGTTTAGATTTTCCATTACAATAGCTGTGACCTATGTTCCATTTAGAGCAATAAAAATTCATCATATTAGAAGGGAAATGCTGAGGTTCAAGGAAATCTTAATATACTGTAATTCTTTGCTGAAGAAGAATCTATTTAATTGAACTGAAGTTACTAATTTTTGTTTTAGTAAAGCAAAAACTAGGGAGAACACTGGAAGTTTTTGCCTTGTACATTTTTCACTAATCCATGAAATTATACCTGTCATAGTAACTTAGTTTTTATTAACACTGTTTTTTACTTTGTGTTGAACTGTTAAATTATACAAAAGCAACAAATCTCAAGTTAATTAATACTTTGACCCTTTCCTTTGTGAGATTAGTTTTAATATTTCTGGATTAATTAAAGTATGCAAATAGAAACTGCTGAAAGATCGGTTCCAGATTTGCAAATATTGAAGCGCGTAGAGTAAATATTTAACTTTGATCTTTATTTTAATTTGCTTTTTTTTTTTTTTGGCCTTGACACTCTTTCTTTTGAACAATGTGCAAAGTTCATATAAGGATTCTGCTATTTTGTTTGTTGGTTCATTTAAATCAATAGGGGCCCAAATCCTGCTCTTATTTCAGTCACTATGGCAAAATTGCCATCGGGACTGATTCTGCATCCCTTGCTTCTGTTAGTAACTTCAAGTAGATTCATTGAAGTCAACTGGAGTTTTGCCTGAGTAAGATGTCACAAGATCATGCTCCTTAATTGTATGGCAGAAGGACAGACTGTAAATGTTGATAAATAATTTTTCCCTTGAGGGACTCAGCCAGTTCCCACAGAAGTCAGGGAGCTCAATTTTATGCCACTGACTTCCCTGGAGGGAAACCAGTATAAAGCTGGAGTAACCCAGTGAATTGAGCCTACTGCTTTTAGTGGAAGCATATCATTCTGGAGGAGGAACTTGTTCTGTTTGCTAATATTTGCAGTATATACTTCTGCTTTACAATGATCCTGCAATCCTCACTCCAGTGGACTTCAATGGAACTGTTTGGATGAGTAAGAGCTACTCATATAAGAGAGAGTTGCAGGAGCGGGCGTTCTGTTGAAATGTCCCTGACTAATTTTGGATGCCCTTACCTTACAGAGGCCTGTTTTTCACTACATAGGCGTCAGCTGCTATTGCTTTCCCCAATGCTTGGCTCTGATAAGAGTCATGAAGGACCTTGGAGTCAGACTTTGACTACAAGAAGAACAGTGGCTTTAGACTGCAACACATTCATAATCCAGTTTCTATTCCTTTTAGCTGGCATTATCTTTCAGAGCCCTTTCAAATTTGCTTACTTTTCTAATCTTTCTCCTCCTCCTCCTCTCTGCGGTATTATCCTTTATCGTGAGTTTTTCATCTCCATTTTTCACATTTGTGCATGCAAATTGAGTGTTTGTTAAAATATTTTAAATTAAGACTTTTCCTCCTTTCATGCCAAGTGCATCGTGCCTTTTCTCTACAACACTTAAAAAAAAATCCTTATCACAATGGCTCAGGCGGTTTACATTATATTCTATTAAAAATCCATTTTGTCCAGAGTTGTCACCATTCATAGATTAAAGCTTTCCGGAATGTGTTTTGTTAGGAATACATTCATAAATTCACCTCTTTAGAACTCCAACACATCCCATAAGCTTGTATTTCAAATCTCTTTTGATAACCAGCTTTAACAAAGAGCATAAAAGGGAGCAATTATTGTATTTATTTATATATATTCACAGACACACTGTGTATGTACACACCTATTCTATAGGTTCTTATACCACCCTCACCACCGGAGTGTCTGAGCATCTTCCAATAGAGCATTAAGAAACATGACTAGCATCTGTCATTTGTTCTCTCTCCCATCCTCTCCGCAGGGGCAGAACGCTGTGGTAGTATTTTGTGTTGGTAGTATTGTGGGGTTTTTTAAAATGCCCATGCCACTCTGTGTTAATATTAGCGAAGGCAAGGTCTCAGATGTGGGCTGGGCACTTGGAGCAGAAGGTGATGAAGTCTGTGATGATCCTTAGTTCCTGTGGAGTCTGGCACCAGCCCCCTGAGAAAACTGTTTCCTGCACAGATGAGCTTTGCCCTTATTGTGAATACAGGTGTGCACACCTATGCTATTCAGGAGTTATTTAATAAGCATGCCTTGTCACTTCCGAGTGGGAACTGTTTATATTTCAACCAGCTCCTGAGAGGTCAGAGCAAAGGAAACCAGAAAAGGAAGGAAGACGTGAAAAGATTATATATTGGACAGATCTTTAAACACGGCAGCTATTTAACAAAACACTCTGATGCTGAATGTAGTAAAAACGGATAGAACATTGTTCACATTTTTTTTTGGATCTATTAAGCAAATAAAAATCCTGTCGTCATTCATGAGGATGCAGTTTCTACTCCAAACACAAACACCACTAGATTATACGTATGCGCGGAGCCAGAGTCTCTCTTTTCAGGGGAAAAAATTATCATTGTGTGTGGGCCTGATCCTGTGAAGGGCTGAGTGCTGCTTGTGAAGGTTTTGTGTACTCTTATCGACCTCATTGGGAATTGAGAGTCCTCCGCATCCTATTTACAGTCCTTACCTTTTTTGCAGGATCGGGTCCTTTGTCGTCTAGGAGCGTGTGGTTTAATACATCACGGGGTAGCAAGAAATTCTTTTTGAAAATAGGTCGAATGCCAGTAATTGGGAGACTGCCAGTCACACTAGTGCTTTATAATGTCGTGAGAGCTGATCTTGTGCCCACTAAAATCAATGGACTTTTTCCTTTGAATTCAGTGGGAGCAGGATTGGGCCTTACAACTCCATTGTTCCTTTCTTCGCAAAGAATCTGAAAGTGCCACTGGAATGCAGCTACCTCTGGTTGGCATGTAACTGTTGCATAGCAGCCTGTGGCGCAGTAGGGTCGGGGAGCAAAAGGTGAAAGACATCTGGGCAAACACCTACTTTGGGGAAAGTGCTGTGGGAACTCAGGGCCTAATTCTGCAAGGTACTGAGCACCATCCCTCCCACTGAAGTCAATGGGAAATGAGCACTCAGCATCTTGCAGGACTGAGTTATTTAAAGTCACTGTAGAACAGGACAAGGAGTTTTGAAGGTCTCATCTGAAACACTTCCCAGTACAGGACATTTTTTCATGGTGCTCAATTTGTCTCCCTTGGAAGGTTCAGTTAACCCTCCTGGGATTGGAATCTATGGTTTGGTGGTGACTAAGCACCCGAAATGAGATGCTTAGACCAGCAAGTGGGTGTATATTTAGTATGGGCCAACTTCTTTACTCAGAAAAAACTCTGCCATTGAATTCTCTGGCACAATTGCCTGCGGGAGGAGTTTGCGATCTGACTCTAAGTCTGTGACGAACTAGCACTTTAATCAGAATGGTTATATTTATGCTAACTAGCAACATTAATTAAACTGATCCTTCCCTGCACAGCTGAGTATAGTATTATTGACACCAAACAAATTATTTTCACTTAGGGGATTATTTCCTCTCCAGGTCTGTAATACTGCTTCCGTCTATTAGGTTATCTACCGCCGTATAAATCAAACTTACACTAAG